CTTTCCAACTTTCCTCGTTCTTTCCCCCTTCTTCCCCCCCCCACCCCCCCCCCCCCCCTTTTTCTCTGCAATAAGTCAAGATTGAGATTATTCTTCAACAAATACGATGCAAATAACTACTTAACATACTCCTAAATCACCTTCTAATTTCAAGAAAGAATAAATGTGCCAACAATCAGAGTATAAATATGAGCATTACAATTCTTTCCGGCCGAAAATATTTTTCGGTGAAATGACCCGGTCAAATCGACTCATTATTTTGGTGACTAGAAAATACTTTGAAGATGAGAAAACTTGAAGCAGAAGTGATTTTTCTTTTATCTTGATATTTGGGTTTCAGAATTTTATTAAGATTTTTTTCTTTCTTCTTCATGTTTTTAATTTCTGGATTTTAGTTTTGATGTTTAGAAAAGGGATTGTAGGTTTCCAATGGGAAATATGGTGACAGTGTTAGCGGCGGTATTGGCACTGGAACACCGGATTGAAGTACTGAAAACAAAGAAGAAAAGCGGCAGGTGGATATGATTGCAGTGGGGATGGTAGAACCCGTTGAGTATGGGGTATTTTGAGGAGCATTTGGTAAATTCGTTTATTAGAAAAAGGTAGGACCCACCAATTACACGTGTCAAACTATAAAAGGCTGATTAAGTGATGTGCCGATTATGTCATCGCGACTGAGTAACACGCTTAATTGGAGGTGTCTATTGATGTGCAAATAGTTGAGCTGGAGTGTTTAAATGGGAAAGCCCAAAGTTTCTGTACCGGGTTGACAAATGGGTACAAGTTTAAGTAGCTCAAAGGCCATTTTGCCTTTTCCTTTTGTCCAAGTTAATGGAGCCGACCAACACTTTCATCGCGAGGTTGATGTGTAAATATCTTGAATCAAATCCTACTTTATCCTCCATTAGAGATATAGGTTTTGGCTATTGTCATTTTACTTGCTAAAGTTCCGAGTACATAACACAGTCTCAAAGTACCTTATCTATTTCTGCTGTAAAGAAATTTGCTAAATACTATTTTTCATGTTGAACGTTCATGAGCTTCTGATGGTAAACGATCAAAATTATTGATTGGTAAAATATATCTATTGAACATTCATGAGCTTTAAAGCTCAAATTTCTTTTTAACAAAAAAGAGCTTTCAAGCTCAAATGATGGTAAACCATATAAAGTTCACTTGCCATAGTATACCATTTATGTGTAATTCTTCTCTGATGTATAGTTAGTGGTGATTTGTGCACTGTCATGTTCTTCCTTTAGTAAAAGTTGCGAGGATTAGCTTTTGTCTTAATCCTTGTCAAAGAAGTATACGTCGATGTGGCTGGTCATATTTTTGCAGTTTTTGGAACTTCGATGCACTCTTCCAGCCACAACAGCACCCTGCCCGTGATTCCCATGATACATTCTTTTTGAAAGGTTAGTTTGACTTTACATTTTATCCGCTTCATCTGAGTTTCATTTAATGAACTATTTGTTTGACTTTTGTAGTCCCTTCCACTACAAAGATGCTGCCAGAAGAGTATGTTGAGCGGGTAAAACAAGTTCATGAATCTGGTGGTTACCAGTCTAGGGGGTATGGTATAATACTGCCAATACTTAATTCAATCTCACCCATGCTTGTCAAGGTTTCACATCCCTGTACGGAGTATATAATCGTGCTTCTTGCTTAGATATGGGTATGATTGGAAAAGAGAGGAAGCAAACAAGAATCTTTTGCGGACACACACTACTGCTGTTTCGTCAAGAATGTTGTGTGCATTAGCTCAGGTCGAAATCGCTCAACATATTCATTATCATAATTTCATGCATATATTACACAGTGAATTTTTTATTAAGTGTATGACATCTTATTGCAGAAGCCCTTTGCCCCCAAGAAATACTATTCTATTGATCGTGTTTTCAGAAATGAAGCAGTTGATCGGACACATCTTGCTGAATTTCACCAGATAGAAGGTTATCAAATTGTTATACAATTTTGTGTCGCATCCGTATTTTCCGGATTCTGTGTTATATATTTTTCCCAATAATTCAAAGACTTCTGATACTATTTGTTTTGTATTGTAGACGAGTACGTAACATTTTTTTATTTTTCAATTATCAAGTTCACTTTTGTATTATTTTTAGGATTTCATGTTGTATGTTAAGGCTGCGTACTATAGACCCTTATGGTCCGGCGCTTCCCCGGACCCCGCGCATAGCGGGAGCTTAGTGCACCGGGTTGCCCTTTTTCATGTTGGATGTTATATGAGTTACTGAGTGACTGTACAGACTACAGTGCAGAATACCTCTATAATTATGTTATAGGTGTCATACAAAAAGCAGAAGGCCATTGCATTTGGCATCCATCCTCACTCCTTTCCCTATTTCTTAACTGGAAGTCTGCTAACTTTCTTGGCATGCTATCAACCTGAAAGCATGTTGATCTCTTATAAGTTGAGTTTGATACTGACATTAGAAGAAGCCTGAGTGTTTTTTAGTATACACTTCTGAAACATATTTCTATATCTGTGTAAATTCTGTACAGTAACAGGCCACGCCAAAGTATCTTTTCATGTTCAAACATAATACTGCGTGAAACTGTGATGTGTTTGGTAATTGTTTATGTCTGTCATGTTCTTTATCTGCATCCCATTCGTGTTAACAATTGCATGAACTTATTGTCATGGTTTCTCATTCCAGGCTTAATATGTGATCGTGGACTTACTCTTGGTGACCTGATTGGTGTTCTTCATGACTTCTTTGCTCGTCTAGGTGACCAACCAACACTATGCTGTATTCTTGCTTATGTTCAATTTTTGGTACAGAAATGTCTGCATCAAGTCTTGGGTTTCATACAAACGATAAAGCTTGCAGTGATATCATGTCCAACTCTTGTAATTTTGAGAGGGCTAATTAGTGGTTAACTTTTTTTCTTCTTCTAATTACAGGAATGTCCAAGCTTCGGTTTAAACCTGCATATAATCCTTATACTGAGCCCAGCATGGAAATTTTCAGGTTGTAGTAGTATATTTGACGCGAATGAACAAATTTTCAACTCAGCACTAATTTCATATCCTTTTGTTTTGTCAGCTACCATGAAGGCTTAAAGAAATGGGTGGAAGTTGGGAATTCTGGTATGTTTAGGCCTGAAATGCTGCTTCCTATGGGGCTGCCAGAAGATGTTCGGGTTATTGCCTGGGGCCTTTCCCTTGAGAGGTATACAAACTGTTAGTGGCATCATGTTCTTATTTATAAATTTAAATTAACTTTCTGTACTTTTGTTGCTGGTGATATTGATGGAGTTGAAAGTTGTTTTCATGTTTGAACTTATTAGTTATTAACCCGTCAGTAGAACTGATAACCACAGTAAAACCACACCTCTGTAATGTTCTTATCCATACTATTTGATAGCATTGACTGTAGTAAGAAAGTGTTAAAAGTTTAATTTTGTACCTATAATTCATCTTATTTGTGCAAACATGTGATAATTCAAATCAAATAGAAATGTTCTAGGCTCGAAACGTTGGATCATAGACGTGTTTAATAGCAAATAGGAGAGATTTGTGGCATAATGAAAGTAGCTCCCAAGAGAAGAAGGTGTGAGTTTGGTTTTAATAGTACTCAAATTGTTTTCTGCTGCAAATGTTCAAAGCCTCTATGACTAAGGTGCTCTCATGCAATGCTTGCAATAGTTTCTGAACTGATTATTGCTATTCTTGGTGCAATTCGTGCTAGTTGGCAGAGATTGTAAGTCGTCTGGCTTTGGTATAGTTGCTGCAGTTGTTTGCAGGTCTTGGTAATATCTAGATAGAAAGAGAAGAAGGGGCAGGGGGAGAAGGGAGATAGAAAAGGAACAACTTTGGGTTGGTTGTTTGTAGTGGCCTGAGTAGCTGTTTGTGGCTGAGTTGTCATGTGGTAGGGTAGATGGTCTCTTTGTTGGTTTAGATGAAAGTTTTTTGCTTGCACGTGGGTTGATCTTTTGACTATGATGTATCTATAATTTGAAAAACCTGACAGGTGGTGTAATATCCTTTTCTATTTATGCTTTAAATTGCATGTTTCATATTGCATATTTCATGTAATAAGATTATGTTCACGTTTCGTGGAAGCTTATTTTGCTCGTCTTCGTGCACCAGGCCCACCATGATTCTCTACGGGATTGACAATATCAGAGATCTTTTTGGTCCTAAGGTATAATTGGCACTTAATTTTATTGTGGTATGATTTCTCAAAGCTGCCAATGTTTGACCTTCCTGTTGTTTTTTTGCAGGTGGATATAGGTCTCATCAAAAGAAATCCAATATGCCGGCTTGGGCTTTAGTAACACAAATCATTCTTGAATTGCGGCTCCATTCTATGACATATGTCAGATATTCTTGATGGTATTGAGATAAATTTTTCTGCAGGGGCAGCTAGTTGATACCTTTTCTTTACGTAGTGGGAAAATTCTCGCTGGTAATTATTGTAGGTGTTTGATTTATCTATCTACTTACACAGGAGATTGTTGATACAAATGTGAAGATTAATTTTCGAATTGATGGGAGCTGTGTTCGATTTGATGCTATAACTGGATTTCGGCTCATTTAATCCCTTTACAGTACTTTTGAATATCTTATTATGTGTACTCTTGAAAATTTAATGTCAGCAAGGGTGATTGTAGTTTCGTACAAGGTAGGGTCAGGTCTGCGTACAGATCCCACCCATGGGAATATATTTGGTATGTTGTTGGTGACTCTAGTTTCGAATAGTATTCGGAGACGCAGCTTACCGGAGACGGTGGATGCTTTTTCCCCTTCTTTTGAGGAGTTGTATTGAATTATGGCCCCGTGTTTACATGATTCAACTCTCAAAACGGTTAAACTATGTGAAAAATTTTCAAACATTTTGAACTATAAAGCACTTTGGTTAAAAAAGACTACCGTAGGAACTAGGCGCTTAAGAGGGTGTTTGGATTGGCTTAAAAGCTGGTTTGACCAGCTTAAAAGCACTTTTGAGCTTATTTGAGTGTTTTGATAGATTATAAAAGTGCTTTTAAACTACACACTTTTAGGCTAAAATATCCAAAACAAGCCAAAGCAATAAGTTGGGCATGCTTTTTGGCTTATAAGCTCCTTATTATGTTTGATCAAGTGATTTACCTTACTATCCCTTTTACTTTTTTTAAACCCCAAAACTACCCTTCCCTTATTAATTAAAATGTCAGTTCTCATCACCATTTTTCAGTTTATCGTTGCTGCTATGTTCACCAAAATTAGTTAACTTTTTTGAAGTGCTAAAAGGGAAGCCAACAGTAGCTTTTTAAATAAATGTTTGATATATTCTAATATGTTGTAAATATTATTCTTTAGCTTCTTTTTTTGGTTCCATAACAATTAAATATTTTTATTTATGGTTGAACCCGTCCTTTGTTTAATTGCTAAAACTATATTCTAAATCAAATATTTCAATGAGTTTACATGTTACCCCATAATCTGAAGCTATGAACGAAAAAACCACTTTTTTGGTCAAATAATTAATTATTGTATAATATTAAAGAAATAATTTATATTTAGATAATCTAATTTGTATATACTTGTCGGTTTTCTCTCTTCTCTCTTAATTTGAGGTTAAGAGGGGCTTTTGGGAGGGCTTGGACGAGATTGTGCGTAGTATTCCACCTACTGAAAGGTTATTTATTGGAGGGGATTTTAATGGCCATATTGAGTCGGCTGCTGGTAGTTATGGCGAGGTGCATGGTGGCTTTGGCCTTGGGGATAGGAACGGAGGAGGTACTTCGCTAAGGCTTTTGAGCTGCGGATTGCGAACTCGACTTTTCCGAAGAGGGAGGAGCATCTGGTTACTTTCCAAAGTTCGGGGTGAAAACTCAGATTGATTACCTTCTCCTCAGAAGGTGTGATAGAAGGTTGTGCAAGGATTGCAAGGTTATTCCGTGAGAGACCCTCGCGACTCAGCATAGGCTCTTAGTGATGGACATCGGCATTATGATGAAGAGGAAGAAGAGGTATGCTCGTGGCCGATCGAGGATTAGATGGGGAGCTTTAACCAAGGATAAAGCCCAGGAGTTGGAGGGGAGGTTATTCGCTATGGGAGCGTGGAGGAGTAGTGGAGACGCGAGCACTATGTGGTCAACGACGGCGAACTATGTGAGGGAGGCGGCGAGAGAGGTGCTAGGTATATCAAAAGGTTTTTCTGGCAGGCACCAAGGCGACTGGTGGTGGAATGACATACTCCAAGGTAAAGTGGAGGCGAAGAAGGTAGCGTACGCGAAGTTGGCAGGGAGCACAAGCAAGGAGGAGCGGAGAGCGAATAGAGAGAGGTACAAAGTGGCTAGGAAGGAGGCAAAGCTGGCGGTCACGGAGGCTAAGAATACAGCGTTTAGTCGTCTATACGAGGAACTGGGGGAGAAAGGCGGGACAGGAAGTTGTTTCGGCTGGCTAAAGCGAGGGAGAGGAAGGCCTGGGATCTGGACCAAGTAAGGTGCATCAAAGACGAGGATGTAGAGTATTGATGGGAGAGTCCCAGATTAAGCAGAGATGGCAGCCGTACTTCTATGGTCTTCTAAATGAGGAGGGGGACCGGGATATAGCGCTAGGGGACTTGGGGCATTCGGAGAGTCTCCGAGATTTTAGGTATTGCAGGCGCATTAAGGTGGAGGAGGTCGTGGGGGCTTTGCGTAAGATAAGTAGGGGTAGAGCGACCCGGCCAGATGAAATTCCAGTTGAGTTTTGGAAGTGTGTGGGTAGAGCAGGATTGGAGTGGCTGACTCTAATTTTTAGGACGAAGAGGATGCCGGAGGAATGGAGGTCGAGTATAGTGGTACCGTTGTACAAGAACAAAGGTGATATCCAGTGTTGTAACTATTATAGGGGTATCAAGTTACTTAGCCATACCATGAAAGTCTGGGAGAGGGTGGTGGAGGTGAGGGTGAGGAAGACGACGTCTATATCCGACAATCAGTTTGGGTTCATTGATAACTAGAGATTTTGACGCATTTTATACTCCTTCTTGCTTATGCTTTGATCAAATATTCATACAAAATAGTCCCAAAAGGCTCACAAGTTGTGCTTGATTGCAGGTTTGATCAACAAAGTGACAAAATGTCAAGATCGGCTCAAAAGGAGTGAAACTTCCACAAGTGACAAAGGCAAGGCAAGCTCAAGCAAAGCAGGCCCAGTGCGGCCGCACTACACTTTGTGCGGTCCGCACTGGGAGATTCAGAGAGCTGTTATTTCAAGCATTAAGGCAGTGCGGCCGCACTAGGTTTTGTGCGGTCCGCACTGAAGGCAATGCGGCCGCACTACCATTATGTGCGGTACGCAGAGCCAAGGTTCAGAGAAGATGAAGAATGAAGTTTTGAAGCCTGTGCGGTCCGCAGTCCATTCTGTGCGGACCGCGCTAGAAGCCTCCGCGGCAGCAGTCCATTCTGTACGGTCCGCGGAGCCCAAGTTCAGAGAGCAAGAATTTTGAAGTCAAGAGCCCAGTGCGGACCGCGGTCCATTTTGTGCGGTCCGCACTAACCCCGCAGGGGCAATTTTATCCAGATTTTTCAGCCTAGTATAAATAGATTCTTTTTCCATTTTTTGGTCATCAGATATTGTATTACATCAACTGCGCTCATGAGTCGACTTTTCTTAACCATTTTGGGCATTTTTACTTACTTTTCATCATTGAATCTTTGTATTTAGCTTAGCAATTAATTAATATGTGTTTATCTTCTTCTATTTCTTATTTTTCTTCTTTGAATATGAGTAGCTAGACCTCATAGCTAGGGTTGTGGCTCAACCCTAGTGTGGGTAATTGATGGGTCTTGTATGTTAGGGCTAATTTGACTATGGGTGTTTGTTATTTGGGCCAATTTCATGGTTAATTTCTGAATTAGTGGTTGCAAACACTAGTTTGTGTTGAGTTGACTTGAGCTCTTCTTGAGAAAGAGAGCCTAAGTCTCCGAAATTGGTCCAACAATGAATTGGGGCGTACTCAAGAGATTGATAGCCCCAATTAAAGGGTTAAACCTCGAGAGAGTAATACCCGAATTGAACCCTAGTTGCTTGAGCAAAATTGCATACCCAATTGGTCTTGAGAAAGCCAATTCGGGCAAAATCACTCGAACCACCGAGAGGTGTAGAGTGGGTAAATTCGTGCAACGGTTATAACATACTCCCCAAATGTGTCAAACGTGCCTTAGATTCAAGTACCCGTCAATTGACCACCAAGGCGGTAGTCACTACCCTAGTGCCTTTTAAACCTATTTGAACAACTCGTAGCATTGTAGCTCTTAGCTAAATTTACAATTTGTAGTTTGATAAAAGTAGAATTATAAAGAAAATCCCAAAAATGTTGAGAAGTGTAATTAAGAACACATACGCAATTCTACACTAGATAGATACTCGATTCCAACTTCTATCTCTATGAGGATTCGATCCCGACCCTAAATCGGGTAAAAGCTATTGCGACCCTCTCTCGCTACTTTTTTAGTAGTGCGGAGTTGGCAGCGATCACTTTTTGGCGCTGTTGCCGGGGAGCTAACGGTTTTGGCTATCTATCTAGTTAGATTTGTGTTTTGTTCTTCTTTCCTTCTTGTTACTAATTTGTGTGTGTCAATACTTCAGGTACCAAAATGGCTTTAAATGCTAATGACCCTCTTGGAAATGTGAACGCGGGAAAGGAGGTAGATGACATTGGAGAAGAAGAGGTGCCTCTTGTACCTCAAGGACAACGTAGAAGCCGCCAGGCCAATGCAAACGACAATATTCCAGACCCTCCTCCGCCACCTCCAAGAGTGGCTCCCAGAGTTCTTCCCAAACAAGGCTATGCGAGTGCTATTGTTCCGCCCCGGATTCGGCCGGGCAATTTTCAAATAACCAACTTGATGCTGACATTATTAGAGCAGCGTGGGTATTTTACAGGTGCTCCCACTCAGAATGCATACAAACATCTCAAGGGGTTCGTGGATACCTGTTGGAGGAGCAAGCAAACCTATGTGTCTGAGGATGCACTTCGATTGAGGCTTTTCCCTTTCTCACTTAGGGGGAAAGCATTGGACTGTCTTGAGCGACTTCCCAACCATTCCATCACAACTTGGGATGAGTTGGCGGATAAGTTCATTGCCAAATTCTTCTCATCGGGACATATGGCAGCACTACGGGATGAGATCTTAGCCTTCAAGCAGGAGCCTACCGAACCATTGCATGAGATTTGGGAGCGATACAGAACTATGGTGAAAGAATGCCCCAACAATGATATGACAGAGGCAATGATACAACAAACCTTCTATCGGGGCATCAATACAACAAATCAATGCATAGTGAACCAATTGGCTGGGGGTAATTTCATGAAGCTGCCTTATGATGAAGCTTGTGAGATTCTTGATGAAATGGCTGACACATCCTCCGCTTGTCAAAGTAGAGCCAATGTGCCTCAGGGTGACCCCACGGTTACTCATTTGCACAAAGAACTACAATGACTATGGACAAGCTATAGCAGAACTTACAACTACAATGAAATAATTGGCAAAGGCACAGTTGCAACAAGTCCAAAATCCTCGCCAAGTGAATGCTATGGAGGGTGTTAACATGCTAGTGAACCAAAGAAGGCGAAGAGGTCAACAGAACCA